CATCATGAGAAAGTAAATAAAAGAAGACTCCCCAGGGCAGCTAGGGAGTCAGAAAAAGCCGAACTATGATGACAGTGGAGTACGTGTTAGAGGTTACGAGAGTAAGGGTCCATCCCTCCCTACCTCGGTAACTCATTGGTATAATATAAATGCTAAGGCTGCAAAATTTTGTCTCAGACAAAGAAAAGTACTCAACTTCTAATGCTTAATTATGTAAAATTTTCTTTTAAAGTACAAGTTAAAACTATTTCACCCCTCAAAGAAACAAGAAACTCATTACATTTCTAAGAATGTTCCTCCAGAAACATGGAACTGAAAGCTATTTGCTAAAATTGATCTGGCCCTTAAAAAACTGGGGCTTTCTTTAATTTATCTAAGGAATTGACATAAAAGCCTAGGGTTCTGCAACAGAAAAATGCAGAAAGTGTCAAAATAGAAGGCAGAAATACAAAATCAGACTTTTCACAACAAGGTACTACGTATAGCATTTGATTCCAAGTGTGCAACGTGGGTAAGTGAACATGTGTACTGTGAAATTGATGCTAATTTTCTTTCCCACTAGTCTAGAAGCCCTCTAAAATGTCACATTAGTGATTTAGTTACTTTACCAGGAATCCAGGTATGTGGTTATTGTGTGTGGTTTTTTTAAATTAACAAACTTTATTTTAAGAACAGTTTTAGATTTTCAAAAAATTCAGCAGATAGTACAAGAATTCCCATCTACTCCCTGTGTGGCATAAAATTGTCCCTATCATTACCATCTTGCATTAGTGTGATGTATTTCTTACCAATTAAATGATTGTTGATTTATTATTAAAGCCTATAATTTACATTAGGGTTCTCTCTTTGGGTTGTATAGTTCTACGGATTTTGACAAATATATATGACATGTATCCACCATTATAGTATCACACAGAATAGCTTCACCGCCCCAAGAATCCCCTGTGCTCTGCCTCTTCACCCTTCCCAACTCGCCCCAACCCCTGGCAACCACTGATCTTTTTACCGTCTCCACAGTTTCGCCTTTTCCAGAATGTTCTATCATTGGATTCATACAGTATGTAGCCTTTTCAGATTGGCTTCTTTCATTAAGCAATATGCATTTAAGTTTTCTCCATGTCTTTTAATGCCTTGATGGCTCATTTCCCTTTATTACCGCATAATATTCCATTGTCTGGGTGTGTCACAGCTTTACCAATTGAGGGGTGTGTTAGTTCCTTCCTGTTTTTGGTGATTATAAATAAAGTGGCTATGAATATTCATGTGTAGGTTTTTGTGTGGATATAAGTCTTTAATTCAATTGAGTAAATATACCTAGAAGTGTGACTGCTGAATCATATGGTAAGAGTATATTTAGTTTTTTAAGACACTACTAAACTATCTCCCGAAGTTGCTTTATCATTTTGCATTCTTACCAGCAATGAATGAGGCTTCTCGTTGCTCCATATCCTCAGCAGCATTTGGTATTGTCAGATTTTAGGATTTTAGCCATTCTAGTAGATATGCAGTGGTATCTTACTGTTTTAATTTGCAATTCTCTAATGGCATATGATGCTGATCTTCTTTTCATATGCTTATTTGCTGTCCATACATCTTCTTTGGTGATATGTTCAGATCTTTTGCTCCTTATTAAATTGGGCTGTTTGTTCTTTTATCTTTGAGTTATAAGAGTTCTTTGCGTATTTTGGATCCAAGTCCTTTATGAGATATATCTTTTGCAAATATTTTTTCCCAATCTGTGGCATGTCCTTGTGTTCATATAATGGTTGATATGTGTTTATGCTTTAAGGAGGAAGGGTTTTAAAAATACAATTTACGGCAGCAGTAAAAATAAAAATTTATTGCAAATGTCTTATGTTCACCCTCAGGTGATGTTAGGGAACTATGGACACCTCAGGGTTTTATTAAAAGGAGAGTGTCAAGTCCTGGGGGCTGAGGCTGACTAGTCTGCTTTATTGGCAATTTTGCAGCAGGGCTGAGAATAAGAAGACAACCCAGTCTTGAGCTCCATCACTTCTAAATTAAGAATAATTCAGGAACTGTGTTTACAGTGAAATCCTGGCCCCTCTCACATAGATTATATTATGTATAGGATATGAATTTCTGTCCATGAATCCAAGTACATAAGAAATCATCACTTTGAAAATGTTCTTTAACTCAACCTAATCCCACCTGGGAGCCTCCATTCTGCCAGTTGAACAAGAGACTGCAACTGGGTCACGCAGGAGTCTCCTTCCTTTCCTGCAGCCCAGTCAGAATTCAAGAATTTCAACTGGTACCTGGAAAATGATGGAAGGGCCTCAAGTCCCTAGCCTGTCCTGGTTGCCGTTGGCACCCTTGGTATCTGAGCCCGTAGTGGTCTGTGAAGTCTGGCAGCTCCCTGCTCCCATGCCACAGTGAGGAATGAGGATATCTACTGAGGCTGGGCCCCCTGAGCCAAGTATGCTGCCTCTATGGGCATAAGCCATCACACCTGAGGTTGCTACCCCCTAGGGAGCACTGCTGGAGGAGTAGTTGGGTTTCTACTGTTCACAGGACCCGTACAACCATCCCCTGCCCTCCCTTCCTCTTGCATTTCAAAAGCACTCTCTCCCTCTTCTTTCACCTCTAGGCCACCTGTATCATCTCTTCCGTGGGTTTTCACAAAAGGAACATCACACGCGGGGGTCAGTTGGTGGGGCGGGGGTGGAAGGTGGAGTGGGAACTAGGGGAGGAACAGTGGGGGGTGGGGAAGGATAATGCAGGGAGAAATGCCACATATAGATGATGGGGGGATGGAGGCAGCAAACCACCTTGCCATGTATGTACCTATGCACCAACCCTGCATGATCTGCACATGCACCCCAGAACCTAAAGTACAAAAAAAAAAAGTCTGGGTAAGCCTTTGACGTTTTATCTCTTCTGCTTTTTTCCTTATACAAATCTCTGCATCAAGAAAGCTGAGAAAACAAACACTGACATTTCAATAAATAATGCTGCTCTAATTATTTGTGGAAACTACTTTATTCTAATTTAAAACTACCATCGGCACTGCCTCCTAGAGTGTTTTAGACTTGACCACTGGCCACAAGAGGCTACTTCCATATAGCAACAAATAGATGGCTGAAATTGGAAAACTCAGCTAAATGTTCAGATGTTTCTAGACTCGCATGGGTTTCTGGCTCTAGCACACGGAGTAGATCTTGAATGTGTGGTCCTCAGGGGACTCTGTCCGGTGAAGTTTGGTGAGGACAACTTCCACCCCCACACACACCAGCTGCCGTGTGTAACCTCTTCCCCTCTGGCTGCTTTTCCTTGCAGCCTTGGCCTCTTCAGACCTTAGAACATCCGAGAATGAGGCAGTGGAGGAAGCAGCCCCACACAGAAAGCAGCTTTCTGAAGTAACCTCATCAACTTCCTCCTCACCAGCAACTTCCTCCTCACCAAACACAGGGAACTGATCTTCTCCATTGGACTCGGCCTCCTGTCAGCCAAGGGCAACACTGTTGACCACCATCACGGTTGGCCCCGCTCCACCCTTGGCTCTGATGACATATGTGGGAGTCAGAGGAATTTTGATTGGCTGACTGCTGGCCTGTCACACAAATAAGATGGAGCAAGGGAGTTGCGATCTGACTTGACATGTGAAAAAAAAAAAAAAAAAAAGCCATGGTCAGCAGCCTCCTGCAACTGCTGAAAGGCTAATTTCGATCTCTAACTCATTAACAAAAGTGAACTCGTCACTGCCTGTTCCGCCCTGAGAGCCTTCTCTGCAAGGAGGTAGGTTAACTAACTCAGGGAGAAGGGTGCTGGCGGCAGAGCTGCCAATGGATTAGGGTCTTAGAGACCATTGACATGAGGGGAAGTTGAGGACACCAGTAGTATTTAGCTGAGAGGAGAGACAATGAAGGAAATTTACAAAATCAGCTTTAACCTATTTGGAGGAGCTTATATAAAAGGATAAAATTATATGTTCTGGTAGTTCTAGAAAACAGGACAGAGACAACTAGATGGTACTTATGGATCTGAGCACTGAGTGGCAGTAGTTTGGGAATTATTTATAAAAAAGACATTTTTCTGTTAACTCTCTTACCAGACATGAATTTCCCAACTTGACATGTAAGAAAGCACAGGCTAGACATGCATCTGTCGTGACATTGAAGGGGTCCTTGCTTGAGTGAGAGACTCGAATGATGACTTTTAAGGTCCCTTGTAGCCCAACAACTCTAGCTAAGTTGGAGAATAAGAGAATTCCATGATACCATATCTCCTCTCACTTCTGCTGCCTGCCTCACCATTCATCTCCCTTCGCTCCTTTTAAAATCCTACTATGTGACAGCATTGGAGGAGGCTGCTCTAAGTAGGAACTGAAATCAGTAGATTAAAGAAGTGCTATGAAAGAGAAAACAATAAAACAACATTTTTTCAAAGCCTACGATTGCCAGGATGTGTGCTAGGCACCATATATATGCCATTCTATTTAATCCTCATGGCATGCCTATGAGATATTTAGTATTACTTCTGTGAGGAAGTCAGGGCTCAGAGAGGTTAAACAACTGCCCCGAGAACACACAGGTATTAAGTAGTGGAGCAGGGTTTGAATACAGGGGTCTCTGTGACTCCAAAGCGCAATGTGACATGTCATTTTTACTGATCTGTTTATGGAAAATCATACTGCTTTCTAATTTATTATTGACATAAAGATTTCTTTCTAAATAAAAGTAAGTTATAAAAATACTGTATAACTAATGGAACAGATTTTACATGGATATGAAGTGGAACTAGTAGCTAGAATTATGAAAGTTTGGAAAATAGTACTCCAAATATTTTGATAGCTAGCCTTTCAATTTAGCCTGTTTATATTTGGACTGCTCAGTACAAGGAAAAGAAGGAAACTTGAAAATTAAGTGAAATATGAGTTACTTCCCCTGTGCTCTGATAGGTGCATAATTGGTCATATGTTACAATAAGAAAATCAAATGGACCCTTTCAAACCACAACAAAAAAAAACTGTGATTGTAAAATCCAGAGGAAAACCCCAGGTGGGACCTATCTGTATGAAGGATGAAGTTTCCAAGGTCTGAACATGGAGTGGCTGAGAGGAAGTGATGACCCTGTGAGTGAAGACCCTAAATCATGGGGGAGCCCTGTGGGTTTGAGAAACCCTGGATGAAAGGTGAAGGATTTTACAGACCTGTTTACAGACCTCTTTAGTGACAGAAGGGAGACCTTTGTGCAAAGGTCAAAGAATTGGGAAAGTCTGAAAAGAAAATAGGAAAGTAATAATGAAGATGAAATAACTACTTAGAATACTCTGCCATGTGATTTGCAGGCAAGATCTCATTTGTTTTTCACAATAATGCAATGAAGAAGTGATTCTGAGTCACGTTTCATAAGTGAGAAGACTGACACTCAAACATGTTCAATACCTGGCCTGGGGCCCCATGGTCAAGCCAGGACTGAACCTTGGACCACCAGTTACTTATTGTAACATATGACCAGTTACCCACCTATCAGTTCCAAACCCAAACTCTTTCCCTTGCACCACACGCTTTTGTGTGGATGAGCCTCCACAACCCCGTCAACAACAAACTGTCACTTTGTTACTTTTAATGTCTCCTGCTTCACAGGACATGGCTAGCTTCGAAGAGATTAGGGGTACATGCCCAGAGGGACTACTTCTCAATTTCTTTGCTCAAGTGCTGCAGATCTCAGAGGCACATAAATGTCCCCCGCATGGAGCAGAGACTTTGCAGTGCCTGATCTGGGCAGGAAACGGAGGCATGCACCTGGGGCAGGATCATACAGAGTGAACCCTGTCCCTGCTGCAGCACTAGGTTTGGAGAAATCTACTGGATATTTACACACCTTTCCCACTTCTGCTTGTGACTTGTGGCCAAACTCAAGAGTACCACCCACTTCCGGGAATAGTGGACTGAGGTAACAGAAACATTCTAGATTCATACAATTGGGGTCAGCTTAGGATCATCTGAAAACGAAGATTGTGTATGTCAATTGCCTTCTAGCAGGACTGGTGGAGAGATGTACTTAATGAATGATTTTAGAAAAGGGCTAGAGGTGAAGCACATGGCCTCTGCCCTCACTCGTTGAAGACTATCTTCTGAAGTCCTATGGAGCTCAGTGCCTGCCACATGGCTGCCCACATTTGAACTGAGCTGAATTTTCACCTATGGGCTTCAAAGGCTGTGTGTACTCTGGGATCTCTGTGAATCTGTCAGGGAAGGTGTCTTTGTCATGTTTGTGGATGGGACTGTCTTTGGGGGTTTCCCCAGGGCTTTACATTCACTCTCCAAGGGTACATTTGTAGTCATTCTCATCAGTGGAAATGCCCACCTGCCGGCAGAAGTTATCTGGAACCAAGCAAGAGCACTGTCGCTGGCTGTGGTGGTGTTTCTCTCTAGTCAGTTCCCCTTTCTGCATTTGAGTTCTCGCGTCAGTCCTGACATTATTTCTCTCTCTACAAGAAGTCTTAGGAGGTATGGGGAGCTCGCAAAGTCTCCTTTTGGCTTATTCTTAATACCTTGCTTCTGTGTTCCTTGGGAATGCTGCTGTATTTATGCATCTGGTCTCTTTTTGGAGCTGCAGTGGACGGGCATTTGTGACAGGTATGTTTTTGGAGGCTCAGATGCCTAGGGAGTGGTGTGAGAAAGCTGCAAGCTGCATCTGGGGCAGAAGTGCTGATGTGCTGATGGCCGGCCAGGGAATGCGTAAAAGGGATTGCAGAGAACATGCTTAAAACCTTTGACCATCAGGTTTGCTTCTCAGATTGACTACATTGGAGGTGGGATATTACAAAAGTGTGTCTCTTCTGGCCAGATTCGTTCATCTGTTTTTGTGAGCTAAGAGACAGAATAGGCAGGAAATAAAGGTGCCACTTACCAAATAACTGGCAGCCGTTCTTGGTCTTGGGGTGCTGGGGTCTCCGAGCAGCCGCTGCTCTAGAAGAAGCAGTCCAAAGATGCCAGCTGGCCCTGTCTGAATCCCCTGTGCCAGTGGGAAATCCAGAGGAGGGGGATTTCCTCCTCTTGCGGCCTCTCTGCAACGGACTTACTTGGCTTTCCTGTTTGACCCTTCCCTTCTCTGGTCCAGAGACCCTTCCCCAATATTTCTTCCCATCCAAATGCCCCATCCCAATATTAGCCCCACTTGGCACCAGAGACCAAGAACTAATTTAAGAAACATTCTTGGGTCAAAAAAGAGCCCAGGCAAGTGATTTAACATACTGTGTTTCACATACTGTGAACATATTTGCATTTGCAAATGGGCTTAAAATATCGCCTCCGTTAATAGTAATTTAAGGTTCTGGAGAGCCAGGTGAAAATAACTTTTGGCAAAGGGAACTTCCTACTCTTCTTAAATTGTAATAATGAAGGAGACAGGCTGTTTATCTTACATGTAACCTCAATCTTGGGACTAAGGCTCTGGACTAAAATGGACTTTATGTGCTCAGACTTGCAGTCCATGTTATGTCTGCTGCTGCAGATACCATTAATAGTATTTCTATGAGCCACTCTGTGTATAATGGGAGCTTTTATAAATCTCTATTTATGTATTCCTAATATACTTACTAAGTGCTTGCTATGTTCCAAGTACTAGAGATTTAACAGGGAGCATAAAAGACATAAGGTGAAGCTATACTTTTGGTTTCTAGCCTAGTGGGGAAATCATATTAGATTAATCACACTAGACATGACTATGTAGCAATGGTAACTTAAAGAGAAGGAAATTGTTCTGTGTGACTGTGTTAGCTGATTAATTACTAAGTCTTTGCATTTGATATTTTGGTTAGTCTATTATTCTTGGATTTCATGTGCCCCCTTCCTGGGTGGAGGTGAGGATGGCATTTTATGGAGTTGAGGCTAGGGTGGGTGGAGAGAAAACATGAAAGATGAAGAGATGAGCCAAGCCAGATTCTTCGGGAGAAAATCAAGGTTCAAATACCATGTTTCAAAAATCGGATTGAGGTGGGAGTTGAGGTTAGGGGTCCGTAGGTCAGGAGATTGAAGCTTCAAAGAGATAAAACTAGAGCAAAAGCAAGCAGGGAGGGTGGTGGAGTGGTCCCTGGGCAGTTCTCCAGAGTCCATTCTAGTGTGGGCAATCCACCTTTCATGGCCAGGCAGGTAAGAGTATTTGTGAGGTGGGAGAAAGGATAGGGCCATATACTGAGCACACAGCCCTTTATGGGCCCCTATCTCTCTTCTCATCTCCTGTACAGTGTTGTTTCTGAACTGTATATTGGCTTACACTCGGGCTGAGGTTTGAGAAATAGGCGCCATTTTGAACATGTGTGGAGGAAGAAAAGTGTGTCTTCAGCACTTTCCGTCTCCCCATCACTGCCCTGAGACCTCAACACTGGGAAGTATCGCATTCCCTATTAGTCTTCCTTTATTCGTGGATGGCTGAAATTCCTTTCTGAGTTCCATTTCCTATTTAGAGAAATTAACTTGAACCTAATTTCTAATAGCTTAAAAAAAATCTCCCTTCCAGCTAGCATTTGCATTTTAACAGGGGCTTTCAAAAAATGCCTTAGCCCAAGGAATGAGTAATGTGGGAATTCCAAGCAGCAGGGTAGGCCTGGTGCGTGGAACAGAGAAGGCCCCTCAGGTTGTGTCCTTGAAACACTGGCTTCCTCTCTTCGACCTTGATGCTGTCTCTGAGAAAACAAGAATCGGGCTACCTTAGGGGGCCAGGATGGACATGGCTCCCTTTCAGTGAGTTCTGTGAGCCTCATTCCTGCGAGGCAGAGCCTTCGAGTGGAAGAGCACAGACTAGGAGAAGCACCTGAGAAACTTTGCATGATCCTTACCTTTTTGGCCAAAAGGAAACAAACAAACAAAAAAATCATTTACAAATTCATCAATAGTTTGAAAAGGGGGTGCTCCTTGACTCAGAAAGTCTTGATTCCAGATACAACTAGGAGAACCAGGTGTATGTCTTATACACAAATTTGCTCTTGGGGGACTGGAAAAGCTAAATGCTATTGCCATGCTATGCCCCTTCTTCTAGGCCAGTGAGGGTAACGTACTCTTCATTTTAATGCTTCAGCTCCCTACAATATTGGAAAGTGGATAAAAGCACCCTCTGCTCCTTCTTAATCTGGATAGACATTTCTTCTCTGTACCTATGCACCCTTGTCTATGTAGAAACACTGTGCTCCCAAATGACTGTCGGAAAGAATAACTCATGAAAGAAAACAAGCATTAGATCAGGAAATTCTCCACAAATGGGGGATAAGGGGGACTTGCTCCAAGGAGAGACTGGAAACCAAATCAGACATGCAATCCAGCCTGAGCTAGAAGGAGACGTGGCTGGTGGGAGCTTGAGGAAAACAGAGCTCAGGACAGAGGATGTCTCCAACTCCAGTCATCTCCTCTGTCCACCAGACGCCAGGAAGTGTTCATATTCCATCGAGGCAGCCCTCACACCCATCCCTTCCTCATCATGTGCACTGCCCCTTTATTGCTTCAGGTTTGCCATCTCAAATCTATAAGCCTATAATGCCGGCTTTCTTGATGACCCTGATACCAGCCCTCACCTCTTGACAGGCTTATTTTCTTTAAGCTGTCATTACATCATTTTTCTGCTCCTAAATTATTAATTCCAAACTTTCAATTTTCTGTTAAATTAAATATAAATTCCTTATTTGACTTTCCGTATCCTATTAAGCTATTTTGATCTCCTTGCTCTATTTACAGAAACTAATTTCCCATTATTTGTCCAAAGTCAACTTCTGCTGTAGTCCAGTCAGTTTTTCTTATTGTCCTATAAAAATTCCATGGTCACTCCTCCATTTCCATGTGTCCTTAAAAATTGTTATGTTTGATTGTGTCTCAGAAAGTTGCTAAAGAATGCTATACCAATGAAAATCATCGAACATAGGGCCATGCTTGATATTTTTACGTTTGTGCATGTATGCATGTATCAATTATACGGTTGAAATATTTGTCCAGTGAAACTCAATCAGCCCTAAAGTGATTCTTTAGGAAGCAGCAGCTCTTTGAGGCCCATTAAACAGATGATTCGGATGCAGGTTATAAATTATCAGGAGCCTGTCTTGGGAAGAATTATGCAAACCTTGCAAAGCCTTTCAAGGACAGAGGCCGATAGCTACCACATTGAGTTCTAGGAAATTAACAATTGTTAATGTTTTTTTTGTTTGTTTGTTTTGTTTTGTTTTTTTACAAAAAAGACAGCAATTCTCAGAGAAAGACTGTTAAACAGTGTGGTGGCTCAGGCCCTCATGAGTGGGAGTATCAGAATGAGTGGACTGATTTACTTAGAGCCAATACTGGGTGGAGCCTCAACTGCTATAACAGAAACCGACCCTTGCAAGTACTAACATGCCTGGCTCACTTTGTTCCCGCTACCAGACTACACTTCTGAGACTAAGTCTGAATCACCTGTCAAAGATCAGTTCAAATATTACCACCTTTACACAACCCTTCCAAGCTATAGGAGTGCTTGCTATTCTCCATGTCTTCTGAAGCCCTGGATCACTTGTAGCCAGCTCAGCAGACTCTACACAGACAGGGATCTTTTAAATGTACCATGTTGTCTACTATGTTAAAAATGAGAGGAACTAACTCAGGGTGAGAGAGATGAAGTGTCCGTGTGTTCTCCTTTATTTCTCTTTATTCCTGGAAGTGTAATGAGAATCTTAGAGGTGAACTGAAAAGTTATGGAGTTCAACCACCCACTCAATTCAAGATTCTCCTGTCTCTTCTGTGTGATTATCCTCACTTTGGTTTGAATGGTACTGGTGAAGGGAGCTTATCACCTCATAAGAAAATCTATTCATTGGTTGTAGCTCCCTATTAAAAGTTTTCCGTCATCTGGAGCTGAAATCTGGCTCCCTGTGACTTCTAATTATTAGAACTACTTGCCCTTCAGCAACAGTGTATGTATCCTCCCATGGAAGGGCATTTAATATTTGCAGACGGCCAGCATGAACTTGCAATATTTTTAAGCATCTTCAGGTTCATTACTCTAGTCCTTTTAGTTGTTCTTTGTTTGACGTAATTTCCTTATTCACTAGTGAACCTTGCTGCCCTTCCCCTCGATAAACTGAATTTGTCAGTGTCATTCAAGTATAACTGACCTCGCTGAACGTGATACCACAAGCGATGTGGTCTGATTAGCACAGAGTTCAGTGAATGAATTCTACACTAGAATTAGATGAAATTTTAGTTAGCCATGCCACACTAACATTTATGTGATTTTTGTGTTTACTATGGGTAGACTATTTCTCCTGTATCTGCTTCTTCGTCTTACACAGTTGTTATTTCAAAACTTAAGTCCAGATTCTTACACTTACCCTCAGGGGACCCATCATGTTAGTATTAGTCTCTCTTTTCAGGCTTTATGAATATTAATTCAGCTAACCAAGTTTTGAGCTATCTGTCTCGTTTTGTGCCATCTGCACAGCAGTTTAATTTCTGTTGCTTTTATTACTAGTTTTACTAAATATGTGAAAGTGAAATAGTAAAACGCTGAGTCCTGTAGCATCCACTGTGGGATCAGTCTTTTAGACAAGAATGATTCTTGACACTCAGTTGCTAAGTCAAATGAATAAATGAATAAATCAATCAATACTTTGTCTTCATTT